AAATACCCCCAACAACAAGGGATGATATGAAAAATAGAATCCGAATTGCATTTCAAAATATTTCTTTACAAATGCTTAGTAATGTAACCAACTCTTTCAATGACCGTTTTCAAGCATGCATAGATGTTTTGGGAGGTCATTTTGAACACCTTACTTAAGTAAGATAAGTTAAACTTACTGTTGTTTTTAATTTTTCTATGTGTTGTTATATTTTTTTTTTATTTTCCGTCGGTTATTTTTTATAAATTTTATTTTAAATTAATTGTTTTCTTTTCTGTGTCGTTATTTCGTTACTAAATTATTAAACAATAATGTCAAACTGTCAGTTTTTGACAAATCAATCATAACCAACTCACAATAATTATATTGTGAGTTGGTAAACGTTAAAATATCTACCAAATTAATACTTTGATGGAAAAACAATAATATCTAGAAAACTGATAACTTTAGGTATAGGGAGTACTTTATAAAATTTGAAGTACGATAGTATTACCTTTTGATAGTGATATAAAATACAGGGTGTTCTATTTAAAATTACCAAGAAAATAATGTATTTGCATTTTGACTTACCCTGTATTTGATTTAACGAATATTATGGAAACGAATATGTTTTATAATTTTTAACAATTATTTAAAAACTATGGTTGCAATAGATCAATGTTCCTATACTCCTTTTTAATTGCACAGGGAGTTAAACTTGATACGATTTTCAGGTAATATTGGTTATAACTTTTTAGATACCCGGTATAACATAATAAAACTTTACATTGTTGTGATGTGGAAGTGAAGCCGATTTTAAATTTAAAATAAAATACAGGGTGTTCCATTTAAAAAAACATAAGTTTGGTCTGCCACCATCTTATGGAACACCCTGTAAGATTGTAACTAATTTTAAAATGTGGAGTTTAAAGTTGCCTACAATTTTTGTTAATAACTTTTTTTAGTAGTTTTTACTATAACAGATCTACTGAGCTTCCTCACACTAATCAATCACCCTGTATAGTTTGACGTTTGTTGGAGTGTACGGCTGTATTATTTTTGTAACCAAATTGTCTTATCTTGTATGGTTTTTAGCAGTTACTTCATACTGTTCCAATATGTATGTCTCACTACTTTTTATATATTTTGATTATCCTTTTACCATTAATACGTTATGTGGGTTATATAAAACAATAATAGTTACGTTTTGTGATTATATATCATTTAAAATATTGCTTATTTAGCATTATTAAAATATCATATCATAATTATTATAAAAATAGCAAATTAACATTCAAACACCTGAATTAGTTATATATTTTAATTTGTCCAATTATATAGTAGTTAGAGCTCGTAGTACCACGCGATTCTTATAATGCATATTTCTTATATTTTATTTTTCAATATAAAATTAAATTTTTCTTTAATAAACCATTTAGTTTTTCGGAACGTAACTAGAAATTCCGAAAATACATAAATAAAACTTAGCCTTTTGCTCCATTGTCCTAATCATCAACTCATCAACGTACAACCTCACAAAATTCTTATCAAACCAATTTAAGTCTAATTCTGGTAGTACTTGCAATTCCACACATTTTATTAGCTGATCTTCGGTTGAGCCAAAGATAGTCTGGTGAGTTTTGTGTTGTCTCTTCTTCTTCTTCTTCTTCTTTGGGTGCCGTCTCCGTATTCAGACGTTGGCCGTCATCATGTTTACAATTTCCTGAAACCTTTCTCTGTCGGCTGCTGCGCGAAATAATTTTTCTACTGTGGAACCACACCATTGTCTAATATTACGCAGCCATGAAAGTTTCTTTCGACCAATCCATCTCTTTCCTTCCACTTTTCCTTGTATTATAAGGCGAAGTAAATGGTATTTAGGTCCTCTAATTATATGGCCGAAGTATTCTGTTTTTCTCCTCTTTATGGTGTTTATGAGCAGACGTTCTGAATTGATCATTTGAACAACATCTTCATTGGAAGTGTGCGAAACCCACGATATCTTTAGGATTCGTCTATAGCACCACAATTCGAATGCTTCTAACTTGTTTAGCATTGTGGTTTTTAACGTCCATGTCTCACAACCATACAATAGGATCGACCAAACATAACATTTCAGGACCTTCTTACGAGTATTCATTGACAGGTTTCTGTTGCATAAAACTGGTTTTCAGGTCATAAAAGCCTTACGTGATATTTCGATCCCTTCATCAGAGTCACAATTTACATTTAACCAGCTGCCAAGGTATTTGAAATGATTTACCCTTTCTATATCTTCTCCATTAAGAGAAAGCAGACCTTGATCTATATGGATCTTTCCAACTGCCATCCACTTTGTCTTTGAAATGTTGATTTTTAGGCCTCTCCGATAACTTGCTTCACTGACTAGATTTAGTAATGTTTGGAGATCTTGTAAACTTTCTGCAAGAATGGCTGTATCGTCAGCGTATCTAATATTGTTGATTACTTCTCCACCTAGTCTTACTCCCTCTTGTCTGTCATCCAAAGCCTCCCTAAAGATTTCTTCAGAGTACAGATTAAAAAGAGTGGGTGACAAAATACAACCCTGCCGTACTCCACGTTTGATGGGTATTTTTTCAGTGGGACTGTCTCCAATTTGGATAGAGGCTACTTGATTGTAATATAAGTATTTCAGCAGTCTTATATCATAGTGGTCAAGTCCTGCTGCCCGTAGGCAGTCGAAAAGTGTATTGTGTTGGACTCTGTCGAACGCCTTCTCGAAGTCGATGAAACAAACATAAACATTCTTTCGGAATTCACAACTTTTTTGTAATAGAACGCGCATACAGAATAGTGCCTCTCTAGTTCCTAGATCGTTTCTAAATCCAAATTGCTTATCACCCATCTTACTTTCGCATAGAAGGAATACTCGGTTTTGTATAATTCGTAAGAGTATCTTCAGTGTATGACTCATCAAACTGATTAGTCTAAAATCGCTGCATTTGGTGGGCCTGCTTTTCTTTGGTAATGTTATAAACAGTGACTCTAACCAATCATCTGGTATTTTTCCTTCGTTGTAAATTTTGTTGAAGAAAGTGGTTAAGCAGGCAATGCTTTCCTCATCCAAAAGTTTAAGTAGTTCGGCAGGGATTTGATCTGGTCCAGGTGCTTTATTGTTTTTGGCTTGCTGTATTGCCTTTTCGACTTCCGAATTCAGTATATTGGGACCTCTGTCCAACTGGTTGTCACAGGCAGTATTTGGAGCATTTTCTCTAGAAGCATCGTCAAAAAGGTCAGTGATGTATCTCTCCCATTCTTTGCACTGTTGTTCGTGATCACAAATTTTTCGTTCCGCGCTTTTAAGTATGTGAGCATTTTTCTGTTTTCTAATTCCGGCAGTATATTTAAGTTTCTTATGCAGGTTGAAGCTGTCATGCTTTTTTTGGAGGTCTTCTATTTCTTTACATAAATTCTCAAGCCAGGATTCTTTGGCTTGCTTAATTTTTCTTTTTATGTGTTTATTAATTTCACGATATTCGATACTATTTCTATTTTTGTGTTGCCGTCGAACTTCCATCAGATCTAGAATTTCTTGTGTCATCCACTCATTTTTTGCCAACATGGTGTTTTCAAAGACTCTTGTACGTTCTCTAAAATCGAGTTTTGAATGGCATACCAGCATTCGTTAATGGTTCTGTTTTCGTTTGGTATATTTGATATTCTGTGTATTTTATTATTTATTTGCTGTGATATGTGTTCACGCGTTTGAGGGTTTTTCAGGGGGTCGAGATATATCTTACAAGGCTTAGTTGGCTTTGTTAATTTCTTCAATTTAATTTGTATTTTGGAGCAGAGTAAATTGTGATTTGAGTTTATGTCAGCGCCGGGGTAAGTTTTTACATCTTTAATATTGTTTCGAAATCGGTGGTTTATTAGGATGTAGTCTATTTGATTCCGTACTATTCTGCCTTGATGTCCATCTTGAGGGGATTTCCACGTGTAAAGACGCCTTTCTGGAAGTTGAAACCAGGTATTTGTAATGGCGAAGTCATTTTCTTGGCAGAATTCTATTAGCCGTTCACCTCTTTGATTTCTCTCTCCCAAGCCAAACTTTCCGGTGATGCCCTGCGTCATCTTCTGTCCAACTTTAGCGTTAAAGTCACCCATAATTATTATTGCTTCGTGTTTCTTTGTTATTTTTAGCACTTCTTCTATTTGATGGTAGAATTCTTCAATATTCTGCTCATCTGCGTCAGCAGTGGGAGCATAAACTTGGATGATATTTATATTTACAGGTTTAGCATTCAGCTGTATTAAAATTACTCTGTCTGATATTGGGATGAAGTGAGTGACATACTTATTAATATGCTGTTTGATAATTATTGCTACTCCATTTCGATGCATATGGTTTTGATTTCCAGAAAAATAAACGGCGTAACCATTTGCACTGAAATTCCCTTTGTTTGGCCATCTTGTTTCACTCGCCCCCATGATAGTAATGTTTAATCTGTCCATTTCAGAGAGTAGATTTCTCAACTTACCGGCTTCATATAAGGTTGTTACATTCCATGTAGCCACTTTGTATGGATTCTTCATTTTCATCGTATGTCTAGTGATGTTTTCCTCTAGTCAACTATATTCTCATCTATAATTTCTGATAACAATTGTTGGTTGTGGCCGATCTTGCAGATAAATACCTTTGACATTGAATATTTTTATTAATGTGAATGAAGCCGTTCATATTCTTCTCAGAGTAGGTTGCATCTTCGATGGCCAAATGATGAGTTGGATCCACATACGGGGCATCTAAAAAAGACATACTTTAAACTTGAAGGATGGTTAGATAATTCTAACTCTGGCCGTGGAGTCGTCCTAGTTAATTTAACATTTTTAATGCTTCAAACGTATTATTTTGTCTTTATATTCCATAATATGTGACTTATCATTTAAGTTATCAAACAAGAAAAAGTGTCTGTATTTTTATTAACGTAGTATTTATTTTATGTATTCATTGATCAAAAGAATACAAACAAGAGAATTCATATTTATTTATGTTTTAGGTGCAATTTATTTGGGCATCGGAAGAAAGCGGCTTTCGGCACTTATACTTGATCTCAGCACAAGTCGTGCCATACGGATTAACAGATACCATTTCCTACATATTTAAACAGCCAAAAATCTTGTCGAAAGTAGCACTTACCAGCGGGAATTGGGAAGTGTTAGGACAGAATCTTTGGGTAGATAACGAAAGACAGCTTGTGTATTTTATGGGTCTAAAAGAAACGCCTCTAGAAAAGCATTTGTATGTAGTATCGTTAAGACGACCTGGAGAAGTCAGGTTGTTGACGCGACCTGGATTTTCGCATTCTGTTGATTTTAATAAGGTAAGCTAATGTAGTTTGCTTGAAGTATACAGGGTGTTAATAGATAAGTGCAACAAACTTCAGGGGATGATTTTGCAAGAAAAAATAATGACAGTTTACTATATAAACGTATGTCCATAAATGCTTCGTTTTTCAAGATACGGGGTGTAGAATTTTTTCTCACAAACTGACAATTTATTTAATTCTCTAAAACTGGTTGAAATGTCCAAATGAAATTTAGTGGATTTTAAGAGAAGTTACTACGCATTTTTTGATATACAATTATCAATTTTATTTCCATCATTGGCGCGCACACGGATAATGATCACAATTTTTTTAAAGAAAAAAATTATATGACACAGATATTTCAAATTAACAATCATTTTGGAGTTGCTCATTCAATTTGTGACAAAAAATTTCTATTGCCTATGTGGTACTGTTTTTGTGCAAAAATGCATACACAAAAATGCGTAAATGCAACACGGCATTTATGCCGTGTTTTGATTTGCAATAGATATAAAGCATTTTTACTACCTAATTTTTAGGTAGTAAATTTTAAACTAATTTTAAATTAAAGGTTAATAACGTTAGAGTTCATTGAGGAGCAGAATGTGGATCTGATTACCATTTGCTTAAAGCGTCACTACTATTTACATTTAAAGGAAGCCAACGACAAATTGAAAACGAAAGTTCAATGATACTGCAAGACATTCCAACAAAGAGATATAATCTATACAAGGTTTTGAAAATGAGTCTACCCAGTTTCTGTATCGAATGAGGTTGAATCTAAAATTGCACTATGTTTGTTACTCCTCACCAATTAATACGTATAATGAAATTATGAAAGCTCTTGACGAAGCTGCAGTGGAAGCTATTGGAGAAGTGGATAGCATGAAAAATAGAAATGAATGGTGGAATAAAGAAATAGAAGATCTTGTGGGGAAGAAGAAGAATATGTATAACAAATTGTTAGCAACAAAGGACCCTTACTATCGACAACACTACAACAGCATAAACAAAGAAGTAAAAAAAGAGGTAAGTAAAGCCAAAAATGAGATGTGGAATAAAGCCTGCGATAACGTAGAAAATTTTATGGGTACGGCAAGAAGTAAAGAAGCCTGGAAAACAATTAGAGGTAGTAGAACAGATAGAAAAGAATGCAGTAGGTTAACTCTAATAGCTCCAGAATTATGGGTCGAATATTATGAACAAATGCTGACAAAAGATCGAACAGAATTCCAAGATATTGGCTACCAAAAATATGATATTTCCTACCGCGAAGAAACTGAAATAACACCAGAAGAAATTAAAAAGCACGCCAACGCTATGAAAAATGGAAAGGTTCCAGGACCGGGAGGAGTACCCATTGAACTGATTAAATATGACCCTGACAAACTATTTCAGCTATTGGCTTATACTTTTAATTTATTCTTGAGAGGAGAAGAGCTACCCCCAGAATGGAAAACTGGATATACCAGCAATCTATACAAAAATAAAGGCGACAGAAAAGATTGTAAGAACTACCGAGGGCTTATTGTAACTAACTCAATCTGTAAAGTCTACGGGAAGATAATTAAAAGCCGAATTGAAGATTGTTGGAAAGACGCTGAAGATCAGAGTGGCTTTCGTACTGGCCGTTCTTCCATAGACAATGTGTTCTGCCTAAAACAAACAATAGAAAAGCGTTTGGAACATAATATGGAGACACAAATGGTATTTATTGATCTTCAAAAGGCGTATGACAGTGTCCCATTAGCCAAGCTATAGCAGGTGCTAGAAGACAAGAATATTCCACCGATTTACATTAATGCTGTAAGGGAGTTGTACGATGATATGACGAGTGTAATAAAGATTGGACAAAAAGTGACAAAAAAGATAAAAGTGACCAAAGGACTTCGCCAAGGCTGCTGCATTGCACCTACACTCTTTAAGATTTATTTGGAGGGGGTTTTGGATATTTGGAAAAGAAAATGTGAACCTATGGGTGTTAAAATTGGAGACCATACACTGTACAGCTTGCATTTTGCTGATAACCAAGTAATACTTGCAGAAGATCAAGACGATATCCACTACATGTTACGAAAAATAGATGAAGAATATACTAAGTGGGGCTTATCAATTAATCCATTAAAAACAGAGTACATAGTGGTGGGAGGTGAAGGAAAGCACTTAGAACTAGGAAGCAAACAAATTCAAAATACTGATAGCTATAAATATCTTGGTGTAAACATTATAAACAATTTCCGCTTTCATTTATATTAGTACTAGATCTTAAGCATTCTTGAAGTTGGATAGAATATTTAGGTTATTTTCGATGTTAAATAAAAGAAGAATAAAAGACACGTCTTCACTCAACACACCAAGCATCGAGTTTAAAAATTAATTCTCGCAATTATAAAATTGTTTACTTAATACAGTAATGTTAATATGGGAGAAGAATACAGTATGGAGAGACAAACAAATAGTAACATTAATACTACCAGCAACGAGGTCCGTACTGCGCTAATTAAAATGAAAAACGGGCGATCTTCAGGACCTGGCAATATAGCTGTAGAGTTACTTAAAGCAGGAGGTCCACTCCTAATCGAACGAATAACTTTTCTAATGAATCAATGCTGCCAACAAATTAAAATACCATATGAATGGAAAACCGCTCACCAAGTGTCCATCTTTAAAAAGGGTAATCGAAAAGATCCTAACTGCTACAGAGGATTGAGTGTCCTACCTACTTTCGGCAGATTGTTTGGAAAGATAATAAATAGAAAAATACAAGATGATGTAGGACATCTAATTAGCGAAGACCAAAGCGGATTTACGCCTGGTAGATCTTGCACTGATAACTTGTTTATACTCCAACAATTAATAGAAAAAAGAATAGCGGTTGGTTACGAAGTACATCTAGCCTTCATCGATCTAGAAAAAGCGTATGATACAGTACCAAGGCCTAAATTGTGGCAAGCTTTACAACGGCATTAGTCCACACCTTTTAGGAATAATCACAGAAGTATACAGGGATAACACCACTTACCTAAAAATCGGAAATAGACTATCAGAGCCGATAAAAGTAACTAAAGGACTGAGACAAGGATGCAGTATGTCACCTTTACTGTTTAATTTATATATTGAGGCAGCCCTTCAAAATTGGAAAAAACCACTGCCAGGGAATGGGAATCCCAATAGGAAATGACGTACTGTTCTCCCTGAACTTTGCGGATGACCAAGTCGTTCTAGCTCAAGATTCTTATGATCTAGAATTTATGATAAAGCGTCTATACAGAGAATATGTAAAATGGGGGTTAAAAGTCAGCATGAAGAAAACGGAATATCTAGTTATCAATTCAGATGCAAGGTTTAAAGTGTTGATAGACGAGGACGTGGAAATCACACAAGTGGAAAAATTTAAATATTTAGGTGCATTCATTGATAAGAACGGCTTGGGTGAAACCGAAATTAAACACCGAATTAATCAGGGACGTAAAATTGTAGGATGTTTGAACTCCTTATGGTGGGATCGCAACATTTCCAAAAGGAACAAAAAAAGAATAGGGCAAACGATGGTTGAATCAGTTCTTTGTTATGGCTCTGAAGTATGGACAATTAATGCAGACCTGAAAAGAAGATTGTTGGCAGTTGAAATGGATTATTTGAGAAGTGCTAGAACATCAAGGCTGGAAAGGAAAACCAACGAATCTATAAGAAATCAGATGAATGCTACAGATACGGTCATAGACAGAATAGAAAGAAGAGGTTTAAAATGGTTTGGACACCTGTTAAGAATACCTGACGAACGTTGGCCCAAAAACTTCACAGATGGAAGCCCCCTGGTAGAAGAAAAAGAGGTAGACCTCGACGCTCATGGAATGAAGGTATTAGAAGAGCAATGGAATCGAGAGGTTTGGAGGAGAAGCATGCCTTGGACCGAGAGGATTGGCGGAGGAGGACGGGAATACGGCGATAGCCGTCTCCAAGATGTATTCTATTTACAAATTGGATCCTGTAATATATATATATATATATATATATATATATATATATATATATATATATATATATATATATGTATATAAAATTGTTTACACAGCAGATGCGTGCCTTTCTGATTCTAGTCACTTTGCAATCAAGGTAACCTAAACAATAGCATTTATAATTCTTGTATAATACAAAATCTTACTAAATAAATGACCCAAATAAATATTATCTCATACTAACATTCTTATATTTGAATTTTATAACATTTCATTAAAATCTAAATAATTCTACCCTATCACACCACAGTCCCTACCTTATTTAAAAGTTTCTTTGTATAAAAAACTTTATTCTTAAATCAGTAGAGAAATATCAAGTCTGTAAGTAAGAAAATTATATCGATGAAGTCTAAACTTGCTTCTGAGACTTCGAGCTGACAGGGAAAGATAAAGTGTTAAAGAGATTTTGTCTGTGGAAGTCAGAAACATCTTAGAAAATTTAATGATTTGATTTTACTTGTTCTTTTTTGTCGAATTTAGTCGTGTTTGATATGTAGCCGATCGGGTAGCTATATATATTTGTCTTACTTTTCAGGATTGTTCGATGATAGTAACGGTATATAGCAATATTCAAAAACCCCCCGACTGCCAAGTATTCCGAATAGTACATACTGATTGGACAGTAGAAGGAGTGAAATTGACACCTTTAGGTTACCTTATGGAATCTATGCCATTAGTTAGCGAATGTTATTCCCCCGAATTATTCACGCATAAGGTCAGTTCGGGTCACGTTTTGTATGCCATGGTATTTAAACCTCATGACTTCGAATGCGGGAAGAAGTATCCAACGGTGTTAAATGTTTATGGTGGACCCGAGGTGCAATTGGTATCTAATACATTTAAGGTAACTTTATCTTCATTTATATACTGATTTTAACATGCATGAACCGTCAACAATTGTTAGTACGTTATTCATGAACAATTTACTAAAAACCTTGCTAAAAAAGATGACATGTAAGATTATCCAAAAAATTGAAAGCAAAAAAATGTATATACATTTAGAGTTTAGAAATGGTTTAGAAACAATGGAAGAATTATTTGTAGTCAATGTTTTGTTGAATATCCGTGTTTTTTTGTGATTTTGAGAACCTTCCAGTACACTTAGACCTTGGATGCTTGGTCTTTTACCTATTGACCCCTAATCAACCGCTAAGGCGCAGGCTATTAACCCAGTGATTTGATTGAACGAAGCCTAGAACTATTTAGAGCCGCAATTAGTTTCTACACAGATTTCTATATGTCAACAAATGTGATATTCCACATAAAACAACTGAGGCAGATTGGAAGAAGTGATGCTTCAAGCATCATTTTATGTATAAGGTAATATGCATTGTCCATTATAATTTACTATACGGGTTCTACAGGAATCAATATAGAGGAAAACAACTTCTCAAAAACAATCGATGAGATATTTTCATGGTTATCGCCATTTTGATTGTATTAAACACACCTTGTAATATCGTAATCGCTTTCTATCTGCTTAATAATGAGACGTGGTATTTTGCCCGAAGATGCTTTTAAGCCGGTTTCTTCTTCTTTCAGTACCCTGTCCGATTATCGAACGTTGGCGATCATATCGGCAATAATAACTTTGTTTACGGCGGCTCTAAATAAATTAGCGGTGGTCTCTTGATACCATTCTCGGAGATTTCGGAGCCAGGATGTTCTTCGTCGGCCTGGGCCTCTCCTTCCGGCGATATTACCCTGTATTATGAGGTGTAGAAGGTTATACCTCTCTGGATGTCTCATTACATGACCGAAACATTCTAAACTTTCGAATTTTTATCGTCTTTGTTATTTCTGTGCTCTTTTTCATTCGATGTAAAACTATTTCATTTCTTATTCCATCAACCTAACTTATCCGCAATACTCGTTGATAAATCCACATCTCAAAGGCCTCTAGTTTTTTCATTAATGTCTCTGTAAGGGTCCAGCTCTCCATACCATACAGCAATGTGGAGAATATGTAGCAGCGTATTAATCTGATTTTAAGGTTTAACGTAATATCTGTATTAATTAGAATTTTCTTTAATTTATAGAAGGCGGCTCTGGCTTTTACAATGCTTATTCTTATTTCTTTATTTATATTCCAGTTATCGTTAATGTTTGCACCCAAGTAGGTAATATTGTGGACTCTTTCTAACTCTATTCCATAAGCTCTGATGTTCGTTGGTTGTAACTCCGTTTTGCTGACAACCATAAGTTTTGTCTTAGAAGTATTAAGTTTTAGCCCATATTCATCACATGCTTCGGTTACCCTGTTTATAAGTCGTTGCAGGTCTTCTTCATTGGAGGCAATAAGTACCGTGTCGTCTACATATCTGAGATTGTTGACATTAATTCCCTTGATTTTAATGACTGTATCTTCAACTAAGGCTTCTTTGAAAATAAATTCGGAGTAGATATTAAAAAGTAGAGGCAATAGAATACATCCTTGCCTCACATCACGTCGTATTTCCACTGCTTTCGTTGTGTTGTGTCCAGCTCGTATGTTTGCACATTGATGCCAATACAAATTGTTGATAATACGGAGGTCTCGGTCATTAATTCCCACCTGTTGCAAGACACCTATAAGTTTGTTATGTTTGTCTCGGTTAAAGGCCTTTTCGAAGTCGATAAAACTGATTGTTCTATATCCCTAAATCGATATACTGATTGTTCTATATCCCTAAATCTTTGAACCATGACCTGAAAACTGAAGAGTGCTTCTCTGATTTCAAGGTTGTTTCTGAAACCAAAAGTTAGTTCATTTTGTTGTAAATTCTCGAGTGCAGTATTCTTAGGAACATTTTCAGTACATGACTCACCAGACTGATAGTGCGATGAGCCCTACACTGTTTGGAATAAGAGGCTTAGAAAAGAATGTTTGCTCTTATGATTATTTCGCTAGGAATTTCATCTGGACCGGTTGCTTTCCTATTCTTTGATAGCTTTATAGCTCTTTCCATTTCATCGAGTGTTATGTTTGGACCAGTCGATATATTTTTGATTTGAATTTCTGTTCTATCGTCATCAACAGCTCCTTAATATATTTTTTTCACCTCTCTAATATTTCTTGTTCATTGACTATAGTATTTCCTTGTTTATTAAGTAAACTACTTGCAGTTGATATATATTATGTTCCAATTATTTCTTCTTGTACATATTAAACGTGTCATTCTTTTTTTGCAGTTCTTCTATTTCAAGACATTTGTTGCTGTACCATTTTTCCTTTGCATCCGGGATTTTCCGTCTGATTTCTTTATGAATTTTATTGTATTCTTCAGTGTTTTTATTTTTCTGTATTCGCCTGCTTTCCATTAGTCCCAATATTTCATCAGTCATCCATTGTTGTTTGCGATTATTAATAGTTTTATACTTTTTAGTTGTTTCTTGCGATCTTCGACGTTATGTGTTTCTTTCGATTTTTCGAACTTCTTTTTTATTTCTTGTGTAATTTCGTGACTATTATTTTGAATACAATGAGTGTTTATTCGGTTAGTCGGTTGTTGGCGTTTTACTATTTTAAGTTTGATATATAATATAAGTTATGAGTGATCTGAGAGGACATCGGCTCCAGGTAGTGTTTCAGTTATTTTGATTGAATTTCGGTACCTCCCGTTAATTGTTATATAATCGATCTGATTTATTATGATTTTTTCTTTAGTATCTGCTGCGGTTGAATGTTCCTAAATAAGACACCTGTCGTGAACTTATAATATTTAGGTTTTGCCATACCTTTGATTTTGTGCGAGCTCCCATTCAATCAAGTTTCTTCCATATAATATATGGAGGTGTTGATGCCATCATCTTAGTTTTCTCCTCATTTACTTGCAGGCCCATAGATTTTGAGGCATTTGAGACGGTTGTATACATTTCTTCTAGCTTGCGTGTTGTGCGGGCAACTAGGTCCACATCATCTGTATATGCCAAAATTTGGGATGATTTATTAAAAATATTTCATCTGATGTCTATTCGGGCATCTCTGATCGCCTTTTCCAGTGCTATGTTGAAAAGGAGACGCCAGCGCGTCACCCTGTTGCAGCCCAACATGCGTTCCAAACGCCTGTGATTGTTCGCCCTGTATTTCGACTTTGCAAACCACATTACGCATTGTAGCCTTAACCAATCTTATCAGTTTATCGGGGATTTGGAATTCATTCATTGCTTCATACAATTTATTTCTTAGGACACTATCATAGGCAGATTTGAAGTCTACAAAAAGATGGTATGTATCGATATTGAATTCATTGGTTTTTTCCAGTATTTGCCTTAGCACAAAGATCTGATCTGTTGTTGATCGACCAGGCCTAAAGCCACTTTGATATTCCCCGGTAAGTTCCTCTGAATATGTACTTAGGCGACCATATATGATCCTCGAAAATATTTTGTATGCTGTATTAAGGAGGGTTATTCCTCTATAGTTTCTACATTCCAATTGGTCACCCTTTTTGTGTAGCGGGCAAACGATTCCAATACACCACTCTTCCGGGATTTGTTCCTCATTCCAGGCTCTCAGTATTATTTTATATATTTGATTAGTCACAGAAGCACCATTTTAAGTATAATTCATTTCAAGAATATTTAACGCCGCAGATACCAAAAAATGTTTTTTAATTATCAGTGACCGCAATAATACTATTTCATATTTTAAATTTAATTAGTTTTTGACATGGACGTATAAATAAAGATTGAATATTTAGTCGATATCATGATTAAAGTCGATATAATTGTTTGTAGGCAATTTAATATTAAGATCAAGTAAATAGATTAGAGTAGTGAATATTTCATTAACGTGTTTTTCTTAGAAAAATAAATAAGTAGAGGGGCAATATTGTATCTCACATTTTTCTATCACCTGTTTTTTTTTCTTTCTGGTAATACACGGTTACGCAATTGAACTGTTACCAACTTCACATCGATATATCTGGCAAATCGATAATGACAGCTACGTCAAAGTTGGCCGGATAACACTTCAGTATATTGTTTATAAGCCGTCAAAAGCATTTGCATTTAAGTTTTATATATACAACAAAAGTTATTCGCAATAAAATTTAAACGTAATAGTGTGGTTGCGTTATATTTGACGGGAAAATCACAACCAGTTATTGTTCGTCAGATCAAACACCTCAAAGTGAATAAAATGTTTGTGTATCGCACCATAACCCGTTATAATGATACTTTTAGCATTGCCAAACGGTATGGTGGTGGGCGAAAAAAAAACAGAAACAGCACCTGAAATGGTTCGGAAAATGAAGGCTCGACTTGAGCGAAATCCACGTCGTAGTGGTAATCATATGTCCAAAGAACTGAAAATATCTCAGCGAAGCATGCAACGAATATTGAAAAAGGAGCTCAAGGTCAAGCCTTACAAGTTCCAAAAAACACACAATCTTACACCAAAGCAAAAAAAGTTCGGCTTGAAATAGCAAAGAAGTTGTTACTCCTGCACGAACGTGGTGAATTTCCGAACATATTGTTCTCTAATGAGAAAAATTTCCCTATTGAGCAGTTCATAAACTCTCAAAATGATCGTGTTTACTTGACCGAACGCACCTACGAAAGTTTGAGCTTACTAACGGCCACCCGAAGTATTTTCTTATCTCAAGTAATGGTATGGGCAGCTGTAACCGACGATGGACGCTCTCCAATCGTTTTTATTGAATATGATGTCAAAGTCAATGTGAACTTATTATCGGAAAATGTTTTAGAAGCTGCTTTAGAGCCTTGGGCACGCAAACATTTCGGTTATAGAACATGGACATTCCAACAAGACTCGGCACCGTCTCATAAAGCTAGTGTGAACCAAGAGTGGTTAAAAAACCATGTTCGACACTTCATTTGAGATTGGTGCCATTCAAGAGCATGGTGAGGACCAAAAAAAAGCAATTATACATGAATGGGCCAAAATACCGGAAGATCACATTCGTGCAGCATGCAACTCGTTTTTTGATCGTTTGAAGGCCATAGTCAAGGCAAAAGGTGGCCACATCGAGCCAAAGTGAGTAGATTCTGAAATTTTGATTATTTTCACACATTTTTGTCATTTGAATCAATAAAAAATAATTTCACACAAAAAAATTATGGTCGTTTGAATAGGTAACAGTCCAATTGCGTAACTCTGTATATTGAAATTTACATATTTTAAAAAGTGTGGATATTATTAGATCTATTCTATTACTTTTAAGTAGGTGTAATTGAGTTTAACGTTACTGTGGGTGTTTAAGCTTTTTATGATGAAAGAGCAAAGTAAAAACGTTATAAAAGGAAAGACAGTTAAGATTTGATTTCACGTATAGTGCCTCTGTATATTCGCTTATATGTATTTCATCCTAAAAGGAATCTTTGGAGCGATTTGGACTATTTACAGATGGTCTGAACGTGAAAACAATATTTCCTCTCGTAATAGAAGCAAGTCTTAACTGTCTTTCTTTTTATTTCGATATACTCTTTATGAGTACCAGTGGTGAAGCTTGATGAAAAATTTGAGGTGGACAATTTTAAAGGAGTAATCCTTATTTCAGGAATGAGGAAAATAAAACAGAATATTTTTTAAATATTTTATTTTCATAAACAAGTAAACACAACAAAAACATGGAGATATTTTTTAAAACAAAAAATAAACTTAACTATAATGTTTATTCGCTAAACAATAAATATTAAATTTTGTTATATATTAAGTAAATTTTTCTATTTTTATTATTAGCAAAATAGTCAATAATTTGTTCTTTCATTTCTGGAGTAATTGAGTGCACCATATCCTTTTCAATGCTTAGTGTGGATAATGAGGAAAATCTTTCAGTAGTCATTGAATTCCGCAAATATGTTTTAATTTTTTTTTAAAGTGCTCATAGATCTTTCAGATGAGGCCGTTGAGGAATGGTCAAAAATAATTTTAGTAACTTATAGCATTCAGAAAATACTTCTATTAACTCGTTGTCAAAAATATATGAAAAAAGATGGTAAGGTTCTCAACGTTTTTGTTCATCTGAATAAATTATAATCAACTCGTTTTCTATTTTCTCATATCAAAACTTTCAGGATATACTTTATCTAGAACAACTAAGAGATTTTTTGGAAATTGTTTAATATAATTTACGAAACTGTTTTTGTTTAGTAAGTTGGCGAAAGAGAGTAAATGGGTGTCTTCGAATCTTTGTTGTAATTGCGTACAGATTGTATCCAGTATTTCAAAACCTATTGTTTGAAATTTTTTTAATGTGTTAACATCAAGAGTTGTTTGAAGTATATCGGTGCACTCATTTACGCATATTTCAATTGTATTGTCATTTCTCAGATTTTTAATATTTTGTGTCATTTTATGTATTTCTGCGACACATAAGCCTACATCGACAGAAATTTTTTATCTCGGAATGTAAAACGTGAATAATTTTTTCTGCAAGACCATGTGTTGTTTTATCACTAGACACGTCATAAAATCCCATAAATTTTTCACATATGTCTTTTTTGTACACATACCTTAATATTACACTAAACTGGGATTTGCAGGATACATCAGGTGTTTCATCAGCCTGAACAGATATAAAGTCCGCTTCTTGCAAATCTTTAAAACTTTTCTGTCTGATAATACATTCCACCGATTCTATCAACTGATTTTGAATTTCGCTGGATGTGCCTTTAAAAATGTTACTGGCTTCTAAGTGATCACGCATATTAGATTCTTCCAGAGCAAGTAAATCTAACAGTTCCAAATAATTTCCTACAAATGTATCAAATATAGTTCATCAACATTTTAGAGTTGAGAGTATTTTATAATAAAATATATTTTTGCAATAGTAATGTGATTAAAATTTAGTAACTTCTACTAACCTTTATTTTTTGATGTACCAGTTTCATCATGTCCTCGTAAAGCTAATTCTTGACAAGCCAAAAAACGAACTACATTTAATAAACGACCGATAATTTTGCGATTTTTAACAACACGCTCGTTGTGACGTTGGGCATCAATTTTTTTTCCGTGGTCAATTTCATGATCTATTCGAACTTTTCCCAACAAATGGAACATTTCATGCGACGAAATATGATTTTTTAAGGTAGCGTGTCTGCTAGCTTTGTCCACAAAATGTTTTATAGTATCTATTCCACTTCCAGTCCAAGATGAATCGTCTCCAAATAACAGACAACAATATAATTTATTTTCAGTTTCGCTGCCGCAAAGCCATGTAAACTTCTCGTACCATTTATGATTGAAATGTCTTGTTGTTTTTCTATCTTTTTGTGATAAACTTAATTTAGGTCGTTTTTGACTATTTTTTCAATTTAAGCCAATGCTTTTTAAATGCATTTTTCGAATCCTGAAAAAAATATTAAATATTTTTGAAAAATTAAACGAGTAAAAGAATATTACCGAGGGCCGAAAGTCCACTAGAATAAACAAAAAGTTTTTTGAATGAGATATTTGAAATAAAAAATCACATTTAATTTTCTCTTCTTTTTCACCCCTGTAACTTACTAAAATAAACATATCAGTTTTCAGGGACTTTCGACTCTTAGTAATAATTTAATCTTTCATTCTGTGTTTAAATTTATCAAAAATACGTATTAGTTTTCTCAGGATTCGAAAAAAATAATTACATTTAAAAAGCATTGGCCCTAAATTTTGCGCCTACCCTCTTAAAGCATTCTCCAATAAATCAAATAAATATTGTTGAAAACCCGCGCGACACATATCAAGGATTTAATTTGGTCCGTTATGCTAGACAAATCAGAAATTGTCTCTTCGGGGCATAAATTTCGTCATCCTCGGTATATGCCGGAATCGGTCGGACTGTGAGAAATCCCCGCGTGTAATAGACAAATATGGTATTGTAATATAGTATACGCACCAATCGCTAAAGATTTTTCGTCCTAGATTTAGAATTTGTTCAGTTTAGTTTTAATTTTTCTGTAATAATAGTGCAGGCTTTTAGTATGTTTGGCTAATATTAATTATTTTTAAAGACATTTCTAAAACTATTCTGGGGATTTTTCTATTTGGGTAGACAATGTCTACCTTGTCTATTCTTAAGCTTCGAAGAGTACTAGAAACCAATTCGCTAAAGAGTTTTGCTTAGTTGAGGAGATATGTTGTGAAATGCAATTTTAGATTCCACTTTTCTCTAATTACATCTTTATCAACGTCTGTTTTGCGTTGCAATTATTAGAAGGACTTATTAACGCAAAAATCTAAATTTGGTTTGACAATTAGAAAAGTTAGGATTTCGAGTTTAATGATTTAAAAAACGTTAACTTTTCGGTGTCAAAGCCAAAGTCTACTTTTTGAAGTTATGATTTTCTGTTTTTATCGATTTTTCACTAAATTATATTCAACAATCCTCCTGACATTCAACTTATTTTCCAGGGCATGAGGCAATTAAGGATGCACATGTTAGCCGCTAGAGGATACTGTGTAGTAGCAATTGACTCTAGGGGATCTCAGCATCGAGGTTTAGTATTTGAAAGTTACATAAAAAAACGAATGGGTACAGTAGAACTTAAAGATCAAGTAGAAGTTTTAAGATGGTTGAGCGAGAGTCTGCAGTATATAGATTTAAGTAGAGTAGCTATACATGGATGGTCATACGGTAAGTTACAATTAACAAAATATTAATAAAATGTTAAGATGGTAAATACAGAAAGTACAATAAAATGTAGGGGAAACGGAACTGAAGAACGTTAAAAATGCTATCTGGACTGGAAAATAAATACGGCGTGGAGGTTTACCAAGAAACTGCTGAGAAAATGGCCTACCAATGTTAATATCGATGTATTTGTCGAAAATATTAAGCTGACTAATTGTCAAAAAACTATACGATGTAAAAGTTATTAGGATTTTTTCAAACTAAAATTCTTCAGCGTCCATAGTAATTTTTCGCTATATTATTCTCATATAATTTTTAATCCTGTTGAGGAATTGTTTAATAATGAAAGTCTAGACCCAATCTTAAAACTAAAGAAGACTATTTCTGTCCAAGAATAAGATTCTGTCCATAAGATTAACAAAGGACAGAAAAGCGACGGGGTCAAGTGAAATAATGAAACTTTTCTAAAGTTCTGCTAAAAGATATCTCCTTTATCTTTTTAACAAAATTCCTGATACCGACGAATTGGCTGCTGTAGGTCTTAGACGATATTCAAAAAAGCACATGCGAAAAAATGTAGTCACCATCGAACCATCAGCATGATAAGTTATATTTTAAAAATATCTCTTTGAATTTTGCACTTGATCGTGTAACAAAAAATACAATAACAACTTAGCGACACACTAGAGAAGCAATATTTAATAAGGTATGACATACAGATGCCGAGATATCGGCCATCCGGATTTTATGTATTTTATTAAACATAATGGCGGTATTAGATTTTTATTTCGATGCAGGGCAGTGACAAGCCGCTTATACGTATTTCAACTCCTTTAGGTCTCATCAGAGCGACATATGCTACTACTTTCAGTTTCGCCTTGTAGGAAATCTTATGATTTCCCTTGTTGTGTTTTATTGACTTTAAGAAACTTTTTGATCAAGTTAAACATACTGAAATAATAGCCATATTCAGCAGACAGGTATATTGATGATAAAGACCTACGTGCCATTAAAAATTTTTGCTGGCATTAACGTGTAAACATCAGGATTGATCCAGATTATTCTGAAGAGGTGAAACTACAAAGAAGTAAGACAGGGCTGCATTTTGTCCCCACTAATCATCATCATCACACAGCTTAATTTGTCCACTGTCGAACATAGGCCTCCTCAAGATGTCTCCACTCTTCTCTGTCCTGTGCAGCTGCGATCCAGTTTGTCACTATTCTTTTAATGTCGTCTGTCCATCTGGTAGGTGGTCTTCCACGATTTCGCTTGTCTGCCCTTGACCGCCATTCTAAAATCTTCTTTGTCCATCTGATGTCTCTCTGTCTTGCGACGTGTCCTGACCATTTCCACTTCAACTTCGTAATCCGTTTTATGACGTCTTCCACTCCAATTCTTCGCCGTATCTCATCATTTCGTATTCGGTCTCTCAAAGTTACGCCAAGCATAGATCGTTCCATTTTTCGTTGTGCTTCTTGTAACTTTTTTATTGATGCTTTAGTCAATGTCAGTGTTTCAGCTCCATAAGTGAGCACCGGAAGTACGCACTGGTTAAATGCTTTTCTCTTTAGATTTATTGGGATGTTTTCCTTAAACACGTCTTTCAGCTTGCCATAGGCTGCCCATCCTAAAGCTATTCTTCTAGATAATTCGCATGTTTGGTTGTCTCTACTTATTTGTATTTCGTGGCCCAAATATATGTATTTGTCAACCGTTTCAATATGCCAGTTTTCTAGTTTCAATGGTCCACTTGGTACTAAGTTGGTCACCATTTTAGTTTTCGAAAAGTTTATTTCCAGCCCTACTTTTTGGGAGACTCGTTGTAAATCTTGTAGCATTTCGTTGGCCTCCTTTAGGTCGTCGGTTATTAGAACTATGTCATCTGCAAATCGTAGGTGGTTCAGCCTTTCGCCATCGACACTCAAACCTCTGTTTTCCCATTCTAACATCTGGAATGCATGCTGCATTACGGCATTGAATAGTTTTGGTGACATGTTGTCTCCTTGTCTAACTCCCCATTTTAGTTTTATTTTTTGAGTAGGGGTGTGGAGGTTTATTGCTGTTGTGGCATTTGCATATATATGTTGAATAATGCTGGTATATCGGTAGTCGATTCTACAATCTCTCAAAGCTCTTAAGATAGCTACCATCTCGATAGTGTCAAAGGCTTTTTTATAGTCAACAAATACTAGAACTAGTGGCCGGTTGTACTCTATAGTTTTTTCAATTAGGGCCTTTAGACAAGTTAGATGGTCATTTGTACCATACCCAGTCCCATCCCCACTAATATTTAACATATATTCGGAATTCGTTTTCAAAAAAGCTTTGCATTACAACAATGTCTGATGAAATGAAATGAAAATGGACTGAAGCTAAACACAACAAAGATAAGGATAATGGTTGTCAGTAAAACGTCAATACAACCAGAAGTGGTAATAACTAATGCAGAACAGCTGGAGAGAACCAACAGTATGACTTATCTTAGTTGTAATCTAAATGAAAGCTGGGACATGAGCAAAGAAATTACAATACGTATAGGGAATGCCAGGACTGCATTTTTAAAGGGATGGATGCTATCAGAATTGTACGAAAATGTGTTTGAACACGGCTCGGGAGAACGTGTCAGAGTCGTCATCGTGATGAACTAACCAGTTGCCGCTGGAAGGTCGATCAGAACTGTCAACACACATGCGGCCATTTTTAAACTCAGTGAACAATTATTTTTTCTGTGGTTTGCTTACACATTTATCTTCAAAGCACTTTTGAACCATTGGAATAGTTTTCGCACATGTTATTTTGAGTTTAGAGCAAAACTTTATGCACACTCGTTGCGTGCGTCTCACCATCATTTTCAGCAATATCAAAATGCGTACTATTACAAACTATATACTTACCGTTGCGTTGATAAGTGGCCGGTCTATGGTAAGTTCGTGAAGAGTTACTGATTACGCTCGTACACAGTGCGCTGCGATTTTTTGACCTTGTGTTATGAAGGAATGTCGAATACTCGTATATGGTGAATAAAGACCTTATACATAGACAATTTAAACTCGTACATTTTAAAATTTGATGTGGAATCCTCAAATTTAGAAGCTCATGCTTCTTAAAAGTTTCACAAGAAGTTAAGATAAGGAAACAGAATGGTTGCGATCTTGCTATCGTCCAATCAAGTTCCTTGGTATCGTTTAACCAAGCTCTTGTATAACCAAAAGTATCATTATCCTACTGTAATTCCTGACTTCAGAATACAAAGTAAGGGCCTCTTGAGCCAGGTATTTCTTTAAAATATTACTAAATTGGTCATATACTATACAATAGGTCAGGATCTATTTAAGAGATTAGTTAGCAAGGTCCATATGCAATATAGACCGTTTAAAAATTGCATCAAAATTCTTCCAAAGAACAAAAACTACGAATTTGCTTTTCGTAACATAAACAATCCTACAGCCGTGGATTTCTACAAAAAACTAGGACAATGCCATCAAATTTTTAATACACAAAGTAAGAGATCTAAGAAATACATCAGCCTCATAAAAATGACGTTGCAGGGTTCAAAAGCCGCAGTCAGAGTAGATGGAGAACTGACTCCCCTGTTTAACATCAACATGGGAGTAAGACAGGGAGATGCCCTATTAACCATGCTATCCAACCTAGTTCTTGAGGCAGTCATCAGAAAAACCAATATAACCGGCCATGTAAACACCAAATCAGTACAAATTACTGCATATGCAGACGATGTAGCTATCATTAGTAGGAATAAGCCACGACTAATGGAAGTGTTCAAACAAATTGATTCTGAAGCAAGAAAAAGAGGTCTCAAAATAAACGAAGCAAAAACGAAGTATATGACAGTCAAAAAAATAACTGACAATGAAAATAATATCACAATAGACAACTATACTATCGAACGAGTGGATGCCTTTACATATCTCGGCACAGAAATCAATCAGAAGAACTCCGTAAGTAGTGAAATTAATGCACGTATTTCCAGCGGGAATCGTACATACTATGCTAATAAAAGATTGATGACATCGAAATTATTAGACAAAAGAACCAAAATGACTATCTACAGAACACTGATTAGACCCGTAGTAACCTATGGATGTGAAACTTGGATAATGACGAAAAAAGATGAAGCCCAACTCAGGACATTCGAGAGAAAAATACTGAGGAAAGTATATGGCCCGGTACAAGAGGAAGATGGCACAGGGAGAATCAGGAGAAACGACGAGGTTAATGAGTTAAATGAAGGTTATGACATTGTAAGATTTGTGAAAAGTCAAAGACTGTCATGGCTGGGACATGTGCAGAGACAAAACGAAGCAAAAACAACAAAGAAAATATTACAATGGAAGCCCATAGGAAGGCGAAAAAAAGGAAGGCCCAGAACGAGATGATTGGATGACGTGGAAGACGACCTGAAAACAATGAACATAAGACAATGGAGAAGAAGGGCACAAGAGAGATCTGAATGGAAGGACATAGCCAGACAGGCAAAGACCCATCCAGGGTTATGATGCCAAAAGAAGAAGAAGAAGAAGAGATCGACCTCCTATTGTCACTTGGTCTTTTAGAAGTTTGCCCTAACTTTTAAGTCATTTCTAGTATCATAAGATAATCGCAGTTGCCAAATGTAATTTTTATTGGCGTGAAGATAGAGAAATTTCATTCAAAGATAATTCAAACCGTTTTGATTAATAATTTCCTTAGACAAATTTAAACAAAAAAGAACAAATGTGAGATTTCCATATATTTTATAGATTTCATATTATACTGTACAACTATAGAACTTGTACTACTGTACACCTGATAGGTGGTTAAAATTTGTACACTAAATCAATCGAATTGTTCTAATATTCAACAATATTTTATTTGTACTTATTTTCTTTTCTATTTACAAATGTATTTGTGATACTAAATAATCGATTCAACTTTTAAATTTAGGTGGATATTTAAGTTTAATGGGTCTAATAAATTATCCAGAAATATTCAAAATAGCAATAGCCGGAGCACCGGTCACGAATTGGAGTTTGTATGATACGGGATATACGGAGCGATACATGGATTTGCCCGAATTTAATCCCGATGGTTATCACAATGGGAACGTACTGAATTATATTAGTAAATTTCCAGAAGAGTAAGTATCGATTATATAAATATATATTTTATTAATAGTGTCTTCCACAAGTCCATATATGTAGATATTTTCCATTCCGGTGAAGTTCAACTTAAAAATGATTGTTAGAGTTTCACAATTGTGATATTCCGTACCTCGGAGGTAAAGGACACTATGTCCATTTTCTTACTTTTTCAGGAGAGCAGTTTTAACATTTTTTAAATTTTTAATCAGTAAATACTCAAATGTTTCTTATATTTAACCAAGATTAATATATTATTATTGTGGTGTGTATAATCGTTTTTCCTTCCATGAAGTGTTATGTACCTGAAGTTTACCGTTCATTTTATAATTTTTTTTTTAAATGTGTAGTTGGACATAGTGTTGTTTACCTCTAATAACTTTTTTAAATAATGTGACATTACATGTTAAGGTCTCTACGAAATAAATAATAGAAATACACTAAACAGCCTATACTATTATTTTATTAGAGGCAAATATTATAATGTTATAATAATTAAATTAAGAAAAGTTAAATAAAGTAAAATTATAGACAAGTTTCAAAATTGTTAAAGGGGCTCCATATCATCTTCATCTTCTTGTGGGTAATCGTTTGTGGCTACATCGCTATGTGTTAAATTTTGATAAAGTGCATGACAAACTGACGGAAAAAGGCAGTAAGGTAATGAAGTCGTTATACTTTTGTTTTCTGATTGGTAATGGGTTTACTGAGACTTGATTTAATTGAGCTGGAAACGTTAATTGCTGTCTTCGATACCTCATAAAGTGCACTTCATACATATTTTGATTATTAAAATCGGTCTTATAAAAGAGCTTCCCAATGTGTTCTTGTTGGACTTGTAGGAGTCAACACATGTTGACAGTAAAACAGGATCTTCATTAACATTCTTTTTTCTACTTACAAAAGGATGATTAAGTGACAATTTCTTATCGAACAGCGTTTTGAAGTTTTTAAAATCTGCAAGTTCCATATTGTGTACTGTGTATTTACCTGATGTTTGCCTAACTAGCTGTTGATAGTTCCATGGCGTTAAAATGGCCAAATTGGAGAGTTTCCTTTTGTTTCTCTTGATTAAAGCATAAACACTGTCTGCTTCCATATTTGTGTGCCCTTTCAGTAAAAACTTTTGAGTGATCGTCTTTATTTGAGGGTATGTACGCAGTATTAAAAAATAGCACATTATAACACTTATATTTTTATTTTGTTCATAGCAGTAATCGGTCCAAAGAGTGATGTCCTTTACTTGACTACCTAGAATTGTATTGTCAGTCCTTTTCAAAATTTACGAGGCAATTTCATTTGCACCTCGGAATCCTTTCCATTCGTCCCACATCATACATTGTACAGAAGAATCGCTGCTTTTACAAAAGCTTCCTTTTGTAGAAACTAATACAATTGTGAAAGCAAACATTTTTACAAATCACCAGATAGTACTTTGTGTTGTGGTGACTCTTTAGCCATTAAAAAGTCAAATTGTTGTAAATTATACCGAGTTTTAAATTCAATTAGGGGAGTATCATGCTTAGCCTGTACACTGGTTAGTTCATCTGCAGTAAGATTATTTTTCAATTGAGCTGTGAATGTACTGCATGTATCTCAAGTGTCTATTTCTGGTTTCCAAGTATTCAAACGAAAACTTGGAAATCTTTATTAAAAATATCTGCGTCGAATTACATTTTTACTCTGAGCTTTGGATCTACATGTATTTCATTGCATTCATCAAAGTCCAGTTGATACAATTTTTCTGTCGTAAGTTCTGTGCCAAGATAATCTCTCTTACTCCTTTCTCTGGAATAATAAATCTCGCACTATTATGCGACACATGCAAGGAAGCTTTAACATTCTGCAGGCATGTTTTTGCCTTTTTTACTGAGATACTCTTTCCCACCAGCTATTTTTGATTTGCGAACATTACAGACCCAATTTTTTTCATTTACTACACGTTTTTTGTCTTTTTGTTTGCACTTAGTTACATTTTGTACCTTTCTTTTAACACTTTTCTCTTCTTCTAAAATAACTTCATTATGTTCATTGGAATTCCCTGCATCACTGCTTAGGAATAAATCGTCCTTAAGAAGATTTTTTGTTATTGCCACACTAGTCGTAGGAGTAATAATAGCTTTCTCTTTTATCTTTGTTTTCGCTGGTTTACTTATACGTATCATATCATTGTCGTCTGATTCTGAGTTTAGAGGCTCATAGGTTATATCAATATCCGAATTATCATCTCCAAACAAATTATCATCTTCGTACACTTCCTTACCATTACCTTGGAAGTTACTGTAATGACCAGGTGGTTCTGAAACAAATCCAGCCTTGTAATAATAACTATAGACTAATTTTATAGGCCTATAATTGGCCAGCACAAAAATAATCCTTATAATCAAAGACCGGAATTTATTTCCGTTACTTCCATTAAAAAAATATAGATCTGGCAACATCTGTTTACCCTAATCTGTTGGTATCAACAACAACAATAATTTTTGGGGTACCGGTTACGCCTAACGGTAAATAAATTTTACCCAATCTCTTGTAGTATTTTGTTCATACGAGTATATATTGATAATTGCTTGGTAAATTCCTGTCTATGCCTACAACACAATAATATAAATGGCAATGCATGTTACATAAATAACTGACAACAATCATACTATATTATGGTCATTTAAAAAAACAGACGAAATTCTTTACTAGTAACAAGAACATACTAACTGATACTTCTATTTTAACGGTAGATAGAAAAAATGTATGTACAGTTTGAAATTCTGAGCCCTATACAAAATAATATACAATACTAAATATTTGAGGTTAGAAAAATACAAAATTAGTGTTAAAAAACAATAGCTTACCTGTAAGTGTTGTTTTATTTGGAATATTACATGACAGTAATTGTAATATTATTTTTCCACGAGAGTTCGGATCCATTTTACAATTATTAAACAACGAACTTATTGTACAACTTTTATCAACCTAACACAATGGCGATCTAAATAAAAAGGTTGCAATGATTTTAGATCATGATGATTCCGCCAGGTACAAGGGTACATAACACTATGTCCGGATGGTAAATGACAATGCACAAATTTACTAGAGGTAAACAACACCAAGTCCACATGGTGTTGTTTACCTCTGACTGGAAGTGGACTTGGTGTTTATTAAAAAGTCGGTAACTTGCCGTAACATTGTCTCTGGACATAGTATGGTTTACCTATGTGTAGAGCCAGAAAAGTTATATTCAAAAGTGCAATAATCTAAATTTCGATAAAAATGGACATAGTGTCCTTTACCTCCGAGGTACGCAAATTAAATCTAGTTTTAGCAGGGCTGGCTTTGCACTGTGATTACTGGTCTGCAAAATTAACGTGAAATTCTAAAGAGTTCTCAGTTGAGTTTACGGAAAGTACAAGCTGAATATAGCCGCAAATGGCACAAATATTTGGGTTTGGTAGTGTTGGCATATTTTTATAACGCATATGTTGAATGCTTCAAATATAAAATAATAAAAAGTAGAAAAGTAAAAAAAATAGTGCAACACATAAAAAAGAAAGGAATAACACCGGTTTTCAAAACAAACAACATTTTAGGCAAATATATTAAAAACAATAAGAACCAAAATAAAAAGCACTTACACAGTGGTGTATACAAACTTAAATGTGGTGATTGCCCAAAAACTCACATCGGTCAAACTGGTAGAAATTTTAATAAACGAATAGCAGAACTTAAAATCTAATGACTTTTTGCAATATTTAACTAACTTTAAATCAGTATTTTGTAATTTTAAATTAGGAAAGTATGTTTTGAAATCAATGAAATTTATTAATATAACAGCTGCACCTGAATCTATTTCAGAGCATAGACGTACCTTGTTGACTTCAACTAAAATTATATATTTTTTTGTAGTATGAATGATCCGAAAGAATATTAAACATTTCTTCCACTTTATCTACCTGATTTGAACTTTTACTCTTAATGCGTACTTTGCTGAGATAATTTCGTTTAAATTTGCTACAGACTAAATTTGTTTTATTACATTTGTTTGTAACATGTTGTGAAGATCCGCATCTAAAACAAAATACATTTTTAGTTTCAAAATTATTTCAAACCATGTCAACGCAAATGGAGAACTTATGGCTAATCTCTGTTCTTTTAACGAACTGAGGATCAATAATACATTTTTCGACCATAAACTTAAGTATAAATACACATTCGAAAACTCCAGAGGGCACAAATATATTTATGATTTTATAGTTACTAATAGAAAAATCCACCCAAAGCAGATTCACAGAGTGAACACAAACTAGTACTAGCAAAACACATCTTTTATTCAAATATAAATAACAACGAAAATAAATAATTATTGTACATATATATGTACCAAAGGAATTGTACACTACTGACTTTCCGGAAACAATTTCGGCCATTGTTACTAGCTACTTTGGACGCAAGTATTTATTCATAGGTTCTATCCAGTATATCCTGTATCCCGGGTGGTGAATCGCAAAACGGGCCATAGGAAATTCAACGGGAAATTCTTAATTGTTGAATTCCTGTTTCCCTAATTATTTTACATCGAAAGTCATAATAAACTATTTGTAGATAACTGAATTATGTATTCAAAACAAATGTTAAAATTGTTCTACGCATTAAATTGCAAAATTTTGTAAAAATATAATACATTTTTCAGGCGACCCCTTAAAGTCAAGCCACACGATGTACAAGAATGTGTATGACATGTTGCGTTTGGTCATATTGATGATTCTGATATTTGACAATATTTGAAATATCAATATTTTTATTTAGTTATTAAATTATACACAAATACTAAAAATTATATGTTTTACTGTGATCTTTCCTAATAATAATTTATAATTTCTAAACATAAAACTATAACAAGTGTTCAAACAATAAGCCATTTTATACTAAGCAGTATCCCACTCGATTATAAAAATCTCGTCTTAACATTAGCCAGAATGCGTGGCGTTATTTTTGCACTCTTCGATAATTCGCATTTTTAATGCTTCAATATCTGTAAATTTATTATGCCTGAATAAAACATTTTCATTATTGCTACTTTCTCCTCAACTGAATAAATTTTTTAATCAACTATATTGTTTTTTAAACAATAAATCACAAAATAAAAATTTTTGCAATTAAAATATTGTCATAGATAAATAATATATGAATATTGTCAAATATAGGAAACATAAATATAACAATATTAGTAAGTAGAGGATTACATTAGAGGATACATCATTTATGTTTTTTTAAATAACGTAACATATAAAATCAGAATTTTGATGTTTGTTGAAGGTAAACTAAATTCACGAACAAATACTTACAATGTCGTGATAGTATTATGAGGTTTTTTTCCTGGTTTTTCCCTCATAATTCACTATGGAATCACTAACAGGAGAATTTGACTGTCATCATGTCATGTGTTTCTCTTTTTAAAGACGAATTACATGCTATGATTTTTTCTGACGGATATTCTCAAGTTAAAGTTGATTTCATGTAATCGAATGAACTATCTTATAAGTAAAGTCGTCCCAGGAGCGCAACTCAACAATATTGGCAATATCATTTTAAAGTCGTCTACTTTAAAATGCATAATGTAAGTCTGAATTGTCAATATAACTGAGTCAGATAAAATTAAATTATTAGAAGAATTTTTCACTATGTAACAAAAAACAAAATTTGTTTAATTTACTGTTTGTATTTTGAGAACGATTTCCGAAGTGGAAATTGAAACGTCAATAAACGTATTTTTATCTTTAATTGTGGCTTATTCCCAGTTTAACAGTAATTAATAAATATGACCAAACACAACATGTCATACACATTCTTGTACTTCGTGTGGCCTGACTTTAAGTGGTCGCCTGAAAAATGTATTATATTTTTACAAAATTTTGGAATACATTTAACTCGCAGAACAATTTTAACATTTGTTTTTAATACATATTTCAGTCCTCTATAAATAGTTACCTATGATTTTTGATGTAAAATAATTAATGAAGCAGGAATTCAACAATTTAGAATTTCCCATTGAATTTCCTATGGCCCGTTTGACGATTCACCACCCTGTATAACAGTATTATAATTAATTTTGATCAGTCGCATCCATTCAATATAGGATACAATATATAATACAACAAACACTTCGCCCAAAACTACTTTATCATCGTTAAAGGCAACCTAAATAGAAAAAGTGTCAACTAATTTTGAACCTTATCATTTATTTGAACCTTTATCTTAATATTTGTTTTACAATATTCTTTTTGTTTCGTAGGGAAAATCGACTTTTAATTATCCACGGTCTAATAGACGAGAACGTCCACTTCTACCACACTACCCAGCTTATCAACAGCCTAATAAAAGCCGGTAAACCCTATCAGCTTCAAATATATCCCAACGAAAGGCATTCGCTGCGACATTTAGATGCTAGTAAACATTACGAAACTACTTTGCTGTCTTTTCTACAAAACCATTTGTAGATGTAGAAAAAAAAATTAGGTTTGGAACAAATGTCAGTTATTTTAAACATAACATATTACATACACTGCTCCAAGAAATTCACGCTCCATTACGCCACGTTAGTAGTGACACCACGCTGATATTTTTGTAAAGTTGGTTTCAAATTCCGATTGTAAACAGTGGGTACTAAATATGCTACTACTATATATTGTGTAATTTAATTTTTAATTACATATAAATCCTATGTAATTTTATTAATAAACGTGGTTTTAAAGTTGTTTTTGGGATAGTTATCAACTCATAATAAATCTGAAAAATTTCTTAAGTGTATAGAGAAGTAGCAGCAGAAATTCGGTTTTTTGCAATTAAGATGCACATAACCTAAAAAATGACAGCGTGACGTCATGCCAATATGGCATATAGGAAAACACGAAAAATTGAACTTATTGTCAAAGGTAACTATGATAATGAATTTCTGTTACGTTAAAGAAAACGTATAAATTTAAGTTAAAGAAAAACGTTTAAAAGTATGGGGAAAATAATAATTTTATACGAACTACATTTTTAAGTTGTAGAATATCAGCTGTTTGACCATTTGTTGAAGTCTTCGTGAAGCATACTTTCTTCTTGAGTTTGGCTCAATTAATTTTAACATGATTGTTTTATTTTGTTGTTATTTTATTTACCTTACTTCCTTGACTACATTTTAGATTGCATTTTGTATCCTTATTGTGCGTGATCAGTAATTATTGGTTATTATGATGGTTTAATTAAATTAACACGTGTCTCATAGATGTTAAATTTGTGGTTAATTACTTTATATCTATTTTTGTAGTACGATATATCTCAAAAAATCTGCTGCAGCCGCCACCATATTTAAATTACCATCTTATTTCTATTGGGTTACTTTTAATTGGTTCATTGATTAGTTTATTAAATTGTCGATTAATTGCTCCAGAAATCTTTTCCTCCATTACAGACAAAATTGTATTAATATGAGATGCAAATGGTACCTGGTGAGCCTGTATATGCTTCATTATACAAGCAGAGCAGTCTTTAAATCTCTTATTACTACAGATCAATATTGACCTGATGATAAGTATTTACCTATTTGTAGATATTGTATTAGAGTATACACAATCTCGTGACCGACCAACGATAATGAAAGTATTTAAAATTGATATAAGAGGGTAAGGCAATCATACCTGTCATTAGTAAAATTCATTTATAGTTTATAAATTGCTGGTAAACATACATAAATATTACAGTACTTACATGAAATAAAAATTAAGTGCACCTTAAGAAACCTCTTAAAATGTGCTCGAATCGTCATATGAATGCACTTAGATTTAGCATTAGTACTTAGCCTACAAAAGAAAAATGAAAGGTTTGCAAAAGTGACGAGTTATATCTCTGTAATATATGTTTATATGAATGTTATATGAAAATAAACGTTCGTTTTCTCGAGGTCTGCAAAGTAGGCCTTCTTGGCGGCGATGACCTCCTCATTCGACTCAAATTTCGGCTCTCGGAGTGAAATAAAAAGATATCGCACGGTGCCAAATCTGGAGAATACGGTGGATGGGGAAGCAGTTCGAACAATTTTGCCCCAGCGACAGAAATGGTATGAGCCGGTGTGTTGTCACAGTGGAAGAGTATTTTTTTCTTCGCCAAATGGAGTCGTTTTTTCTACAATTCGGTGGCGAATCGGCCCAGTAATTCGGCATAGTAGAGCCCTGTGAGTACTGACCTTCTCTAGGTAGTCAATGTAGAGTACACCTTGTAATTCCCATAAAACGGTGGCGATCATCTGTCCATATAGCTGATAGGACAGTTTTCGCAATTTTGCGCCTGTTGTCCGGAGAGAGTAAACGCCGCACCCATTGCGCCGACAGTTTTCTTATGTCAAAAATGTCATGGAGAATATGACCCATGTGGTTTTTGCTGTCAGCTATCTCGCGCACCTTTAATCGGCGGTGTGCCAGAAAAAGATCGTAGATTTTCGTCACGTTTATCCTCAGTGGTAGCCGTTTTAAGACACCTGGAAGTGGCTCATCAGAAGCCATGAAACTATTGGTTGTAATCGAAGGAGAAGAGTTACCGTACACGATACAATGACGAAAACTGTTGGACGCTAAGGTTAAGAGCAACGTTTATGTGAAATGGTTAATATCGTCAACGAACGGGAAAGTACCTATTTAAAGATCATCAAGCTCTTAAACTGAGGTTGAAAGTTTTTATATGTAACAAACGATTATCTTTCTGTAAAAATTCTGAAATAGTGATCTCTATGTGGGTTTTAATTTTAACTGCACAGGCCTTCTATAAATGTGTACTATTTCGTCATTTATCTTTACATCATTTGATGTATCGATGCATTTGAAATACCCAGCGTTTTTCCTACTTCGTCTCCTTCATATGCTATTACTATGATTTCAAACTGTAATAATACTATCGTTTAAAATCATTGCCCACTAGTCATATTACCAGATTTATCATAAATAATTCCCTAAATATAATGCAACGTGCAACATTTTTTACAATATCACTTTCGATATAAACTCGTTTTTTGAAATTTTTTGCTCTTAATATTGTAAAAAAAGTATAAAAAGAAGAACGTCTATCGATAGAATTCTATCAAATAAAAACTGAAATAACAATGTGTGCGTTAATTTCTTTTAGGAGCCGTCCACAAATTATATCACATGTTACAGGAGGATGTTTTAGAGTAACAAAATTTTCGAGGTATCTTGAAAATCACAAGGTCACAAAAGTCAAAATATATTTTAAACATAACGTAGTATATAACCTGATGTTAACATTTAAAATACAGTTATTTTTTATTCTGTAATTGTTTTATATCCTGATATCAATTGATAAAAATAAAGTATTAAAAAATAAAAAACATGTTGGTCGTCTCAAAAGTTCTTGATTTCTCTAAAAGATAGAAAACGATATGTGTTATTTCAAAAAAGTTTTATAGTTCAAAATTATCTTCTCTTGTATCAATACATTTCATCCTGACATCTTCCAATGTCTATTGTGATCTCTACTGTGATTCTCTGGAAATGGTGCAAAGTACTCATCTACACTCGTAATAACTCCTTTATTTCCCGCTGGAAAAAAGGCGCTGTCCGGCGGGGGAGGTCTTTAGTTTTGGTAAGACCGGTATGTCAAATCTGTGCAATAGGTTAGATTTCTCAGCATTTTATAGTATAAAATCATTCTTTTTCCCCATTGCCAAAAACACTTGTGGATAGGTTCATTGTCCTGATGGAAAATAATTTTTACGTCATTAAATCTAGTCATTTTTGCTATTTTATTTCGTTGTGTAGTAGTAAATCACAAAATTTACTCCAAAAGTCACTCCTGTTTTTCTTAAAACACACCAATCACTTTTCGGAAAGACTTATAGGAATGCGTTTGTTATTCGCAGCAGTCAGGGTGATTTCGCCGAATCTTTGGTCGAAGTTCAGTTGATAATAAAAATGTCACAACACGTTTGTTTGATATCCTTAGAGCATTGACAACTGCACCCATGTTTATATGCCAATTTTTCGAAATTACACTTTGTGGATGGTTTCCGATTGTGTGAAATTTTTTAAAGTTCTTCACGTGGATCTTCTTGGGCACTTTTATTGCCACGTATAAAATCTCATTTCAAACGGCTACCTACAATTAAGTAGTCTAATCGGGAGATCCAATTTTCGATTGCTTTTTCCAATATTTGTGGTTGTATATCGACAATAATGCGGCGAATCTTATTCTCTAAGTCAAGTGGTCAATGGTTTCAGGCTTGTCGGCGTAGATTAGCGACTTTACATATCCCCACAGAAAATAGTCTGGCGGTGTTAAATCGCACGATATTGGAGACCAATTCACAGGTCCAAAACGTGGAACTATGCGGTTACCAAATGAATCAATTGTGGCACGAGCTGTGTGACATGTTGCACTGTCTTGTTGAAACCACAGCTTCTGCTCATCATAGTTGTTCAAATGAGGAATAAAAAATTCAGTAATCATGGCTCTATATCGGTCACCATTGACTGTAACATTCTGACCAGCATAGTTTTTGAAGGAATACGGACCAATGATTCCACTAGTCCATAAAGCACACCAAACAGTCAATTTTTCTGGATGTAATGGTGTCTCAACATACACTTGATGATTATCTTCATTCCAAATACGGTGGTTTTGTTTGTTGACATAACCATTCAACCAAAAGTGAGCTTCATCGCTAAACAAAATTCGCTTATGAAAATCAGGATCAACGGCAATCTTGTTTGGGCCCATTCACAGACTCTAGGTGATCGTGTAGCTTTAATTCTTGTGATTGGATTTTGTAATCACGTAAACCAAGATATTTTCGCAAAATCTTCCATAAAGTGGTTGGACACATATCCAACTGCCATGGTTAATCGTATTAATTGCTCTGATGGACGCTTATGTTGACCATAAAATGGAGGTAGTGTGCAATACGTATTTCGAACAGAATCACAATTTTTAAAATAAATTTGCACAATTTGGAAGCGTTGTTCAGGCGTCAGTCTATGCATGATAAAATGCCAATCCCAACTAAACATAAATCACTTGACAGCTGTCAAAAAAGTTTTAAAAAAGTGTTGCCATCTTACATTTCTATACCTCTAAAAAAAGACACCCTTTACTTGTACCAACATAAAAGTAAAATCATGTGAGTACTGTTGCGATCTTTGGACGAGACCGAGAACTTATGAAACCGCATAAGTATAATAATAAAAATAAAAATTTAATTTAAAGTATGTAATTATTTTCTTAAAAATTTTAATTTTAATGATATAATATTTATACAGTAACTTTAAAATTTGGTAACGTTCAACTAAAATATGACATAATGTGACATTTGTAGGCAGAAAGCTACAAAACTACAAATTCATGTGACGTAATATCTGGACGGCTCTTGAGCAGTTTTTTCGCTAATTTAATCATTCTGCCCATAAAAAGATATTGACTAAGTGGTTGATATACTGAAAAAGTCGTAATTGTATTATATATTATATTGATTTTTAAAGTCTTAAAGAATATTTTTGTTATATAACATTATTAATTTTCTTTACTTTTTTACTATACCTGAAACTTTAAATCAAAGAAGATCGATGTTATTGCAAAATAAAATTAAATGCTTTTTCAATAAATGTTATAACAAATCATATAACTATGTAACTATTTTTTCTTTAAATAAGATTTTTGTATTCAACTGTTCATGAACTCGGACGAAGATTTTGATTATTACCAAAA